CAGCAGATTTACTGGTTTGACCACAGGCTGTGTGGATGCAGAAAGCCTCTGTCTCTGGGTTCAAACTAAAGCTCGAATGCTTAGAATTTTTACTTGCACTCTACAGTCTTAGTTTTCTTATCTCTAAAATGGGTACAGTAACTGTCTCATGAAACAAACATGATGACTGAATGAAACTGAGACTGCTTGGGAGGCATGAAACACTGGTCTTTCTCAGGAATCACAAAAGGTTTGTTCCGTGACACCCACCAAAGCCTTGCTGCCCTGTGCTAGACACTAGAGGATATTCTGAAAACCAAGCCTTAGGTCTGTATTGTTTTAATCTCTGTAAATGACTGTCCTTATGGTGCAGTCTTTCCAAGGGCTATCATCTGCTGTGCCAGCTTGATTATCAGATTTCTTTTCTTTTTTAGAACTTTATATATGAGCACTGTATCTATGCCACTCTCCAACCCCCGATCTCCACTCCTAAACTCCTCATGTTGCCCCTGCTCCGCACCACTTACGGTCTTTTTTTTAATTATACATATTCGCTTAAGTATACACATCTATATATAGAATTGCTCACAACTACATGTGTCCAGGATTGACCATTTGGGATTGGGCATCATCCAGTGTGGATGTATATCACTGGAGGAAACTCAGCAGCCATTGGCCATCTTTAGCTCATATAGGGATGGGACCATGGGCTTTTCCTGTTCACATTGGTGTGCTATCTGGTGTTATTAGGATTCTGGTCTTGTTCAGGAAGCTACATTGTTGACATTTTATGGGTGAATTTTCCCTGTCATACCTAGGGGACACTACTTAATAGCAAGTACTCTGGGCCTTAGATCTTATGGTCTTTCTGGCTCTTCTTCCTCGATTGTCCCTGAGCCTTAGGTATAGTAATTGCATTGTTGGATGTATTAGTTGGGCTTAGGTGTGCAAAAATTATCGCTCACTCTCTACATTTTGACCAGTTCTAGATTTCTGTAATAGTCTCTATCTATTGTAAAAAGAAACTTCTTTGATGAGGGGTGAAAGCTACACTTATCTGTCTGTAGGTATAATAAGTATTTAGAATACAAAGTAAGAAATAGTATTGGATTAGGAAACTGGTAGTTAGGTTTTCCTCTCGGCAAAGCGACCTCTCCAGCTACAGGCAGCTGCCTAGGTTTACACTAGCAGGCATGAATCACCTCCTATTGAACAAGCCTGAAGTCCAAAATATAAGTGCCACTATTATTACACCACGGGGGCCTACCCACTGCTCTTTCCCTTGGCAGCTTGCAGAGGACTTTCAGCTAGGCAGTCCCTATTCATCTCAGTTCTATTCTATGTATTCTACATGGGCAAAGGGAGCTAACTTAAGTGCAGGCATCCAGGAAACAAATACTTTACTCTTGAATTTGTATACTCCTCAGAAATAAAGTTCGGCATCTAAGAGTGCAGCCATTTTTAGATTCTTAAAGTTCATTCCCAGACTGAAGAAGATGGAGCCCCTGTGCTTCTGGGAAATGTCGAGGGATGGTTTATGCATCAGGAGGATACTCTGCGTCCATCTTTCTTCAAACAACTGCTTCAGTTGAGTTCTTTGGAACTCCTACCCACTGAGAGGCTGAGCTTGGGTCTCTGGTGATCTGACTGGCTAAGGAGCTCGCCTGAAAAGGCAGCAGTCTCAGGAAGCACTGGAGGAATCTGGCAGAATGAGGTGTTCTGGTGAGAGTGTGCTAACAGCCACATGGGCAAGTGAGCAAGGGTTTCTGGTTAGGGAGGTGTTCAAAAGAGACCCCTCTGGCACTTGGATGCCTTTCCTAATGTACACAGTCAGAGAAGTTAGTGGTGAGGGTGGGGGTGGCAGTTGTACACCTTGGTTGTTGTGAACAGTCTGGCTGTTGATGCTTGTTACAGAGGGAAGAGACTTCACAGGGCTGACATCCAAATTTCCATTTCAGTGTTATCTGCGAGACTGATTCTTAAACTTGGTCCAGTTTTGTTCAGAAGCTTAGAGCTTCCCTTTGGCTGCACATTTGATATGAATCACCAGCCTTCTTGACTACTGAGATGTCACCTTCTTCAGAAATATATTGGTCTTCTTGCAGCTCAGCTTGGTTAGCAAAGTACACAAATTTTCCAAATAACCAACAGATTCATTTACTGTTGGAAACGTTAAATTATACCCCTTTTATGCTAATGCCAAAATAAAGGGTCTACAGCTCGGTTTATGTTGTATTAAAGTAAGTTTCATGGACAGATATCTCACTAGTACCTTGTTTTCAATCCTGTATTTTGACAACTTTCTGAAGTAATAAATGAAAAATTCCTTTTCATTAAGAAAACCAAAGTTGTTGTTTTGCTTATGTAATTGCCTTATTTAGGCTGTTAACAGTTGCTAAAGGCAAGAAGTTATAATAAAGGATAGAAACCCGTTAGATATTTATATTTTGGATTTATGTGGTGATTACTTATAGTAGCTACTCTTAATCAGCTTTCTCTGAATATTTTATTAAAACTTCCACTGAAACAGCTGGATTCAAATCAGTTATAAGTACTTGAAATTATGTGAAATCCAGCTGAAAATGAACGAGTCCTAACCCTGCTGTGCCTAGCATTCCAGGGCCTCTGAATTCTCACAGATGTGTGTTTTCAACTGTCCATTTGACATCACCCAGGCTGAATGGATGGCTTCCGCACTGCTCCTGCTCCTCCTAAAGCCCCTGTCTCCAGTCAGGGTTTAATGACCCACCTGCTCCACATGTGGAACTCATTCACAGAAATCCTAGTGTCTTCCATGAGTTTCTCAATGTTATTCATTTTACCTCAAATTGTTCCCCAATCTGTGTTCCCTCTTTTCGTGGTTTTGAGTCCACATTCCTGCCTGCTGGCCGTCTGTCTCGTCACTTCTCTCTGTCCCACTTCCATCCATGGTTGATGACTTACTGGCTTCCATCGTGTAGTAATTCTTGAGGTCACACAGCCAAGCCTTTGTGGCCTAGAGCTCATCTGCTCTGCAGGCTTCTATCTGCCTACTTATTCTGTGGTTCACATTTCAGCCTCGTAAACTCCCCAGTTCCTGAACGAGAGACCAGCGAATGGCTCTCTCTCCTCTCCTCCCATTGTACAACCTCAGATTTATGGATGACTGACCCAGCTCATGGCCTCCTCACCCATACATACTGTTGAGTTAGTCACCTCACCTTTGGAGTTTTTACTGAATCTCCAGTTACCATCACCTCTGTCCTACCACAGAGTTGGCCTTCCTTCAAACCTACTCCCTTTCTTGTTGGCTGGTTTGCTAGAGCAGCCCACAGAGTGCAGGAAGACATTTTTAGTATTATCACTAGCTCATTAAGAGGGAAGACATTTCAGAGAGAGCCAAGTGAAGAGCTACTTAGTACAGGGATGGGGTGGGTGACACAGAGCCTCCATGCCCTCTCCAGGCTTGCCACCCAGCACTTCAGCATGTTCAACCCACTCTGAACCTCATTATTTAAGGGTCTTTATAAAAGTGTCATTGTATAGACATACTAGACGATAGGCCTTTGCTAAATCAACTTGAAACCTGCTGCCATTTCTCCTTGAAGGTGAGCAGAGAGGCTGAAAATTCCAGCTTTGTAAAGGTGGCTTGGCTTTTCTGGCTATTAGCCTGCATCCTGCACCTACCCAGGCTTCCCCAGCCTCCAAATGCCTACTCATCATAGGAGAGACAGTATTGGTATGGAGATCCTAAGGATTTAAAAATCTGAGTTCTAAAAAAACCTGGGAATGAAAGCCAAGACTGTATTAATGCTATTATTTTTTATTCTGCCTCATATCTGCTTTATTTTAATTTTCCCATGATCCTCATTCATCACTACCAGAGGAGAAGGATCGTTTTTTACTCAGCTTTCCTTTAGTGAGTTAATGTTCCCTGGCATGTAACCCAGAATCTTTTGTACCAGTTCAGGGTAGTACATGATCATGTCTTCATAGACACTTATTATTGAATCACAGTTTCTCCATTCATTCCCACAAGAATTAAAAGTAGAGATTCAAACACATAGTTATATGAGAGTATTCAGTCATGGTAGCTGAAAGAGCCATAAAAATGATTGTATAATTAATGGCTGTGTTCCTGTGTATAAAGTGTGTGAAATAACTAAATCAGTCAATTTTAAATTACTGTTTATCTGTCTCATTAACAATGTCTGATTACTCTGAACTGCAGCCTAATGAAACTGTGAGCAACTAAATACTGTGCATATTAATATGTTTGGTGTAATGTTTTTATTTTGGAAGGGCATGTGAGATTGGGTTCTTTTCAGACTCCTTTTGTCAGCCGTCACGTGGGTGGTTTGCATGCTTACATTTCCTCCTCTGTCTGTTGTGGAGATAGGGCCTCACTCTGTTTCAGAGGCTGGCCTAGAACCTGCTGTGCAGCCCAGGTTACATGCACTCTCTTGATTTTCCTGCCTCTACCTACCCAGTCCTGGGATTACAAACATGCATGGTCTGATCTCTCCTGTACACAGCCAGATAATCTGTAAGCATGACCTTTCCTCCTCTATCAGGGAGAGTTTTTTTTTTGGGGGGGGAATGGGGGATTGAGACAGGGTTTCTCTGTGTAGCCCTGGCTGTCCTGGAACTCACTCTGTAGACCAGGCTGGCCTCGAACTCAGAAATCTGCCTGCCTCTGCCTCCCAAGTGCTGAGATTAAAGGTGTGCACCGCTGCTGCCTGGCGGGAGAGTTCTTAAGAAATAGAAAAATCTGTTTTTTTTTTTTTAAAGTTTCTAGGGAGAGAAATATCTAGGGTTATCAATGGTTTAAGATCAACACTTCAAGTAGTAACATTTTAATTTGGACAAAATTTTCAATGTTTTTTTTCTTTGTGGGGGATTGTTTTGTATTTGTTTTCTTAAAATCTCTTTAATTTCTTACACACCATGTAGTGTTGTTATTTTTAAACCCTACACGGGGATAGTTGTTGTCTATTAAAATTTATAGAAGAGATAGAAATGCTTTTCCTTTTTTCCCCTAGATTCTTCACAGAGTTGGAAGCAAGACATCAGAATAACATCTTCATCGAGGATATCAGTGACATTGTAGAAAAGCACACAGCATCCACGTTTGACCCCTATGTGAAATACTGCACCAATGAAGTCTACCAACAGCGAACGCTGCAGAAGTTGCTGTAAGCAATGTTGAACGCTCTAGTTTCAATCTTCTAACTTCTTTTGATTAGAGCTTATTGCTAAAGATCAATCAATCATAGACATGTCTCTTAGTTGACAGCTTCCTCCTTGGCAGATGTGTAAAAGATTCACTTTTGGAGTGAGGGTATTAAGGCTGGAGAGTTTGCCCTCTAAAGCATTTAGAAAATTAAAGTTGAAGTTGTTGTCCTCACCCCACCCCCAACACACCTTTCTTCCTGTTAATTGTCTTGAGACTTGACTTACCATCACTCAACCTCCCCCCCCTACTTTTCTAATCAAGTAACTGGCCATGAAATGGTTTGCCAGAGGCAAAAGGGGGTTCTTAAGAGGAGCTAGACAGTAGGATCCAGGGTGTCCCTTAGTATTCTGACATCTGTAAGCTGTTTACAGGGACTGCAGGGTCTCCCTCCCCATCCCTTAGTTGTTATAGGAGGCAGGAGGTTAGAGGAACAGAAGGAAAAGGCAAGCTTGGAGATTAATCATGCCACAGGAATCAAGCATTTTTTTTTTCTCTCCACATTTCTTTCCCTTTTAGATTATTGAGAGTTTGGGTGTGAGGTACAGGCAATCTTCATCTTTGAAAGAATCAACAAGTTGCTGAGAAATTTCTATACTGTTTTATTTGTATAGCCCCCAGTTGTCCTAAGTAACTATTTTATACTATAGTTATCTACCATAAACTCAGTGTGGGGCTTCCTGACTATTGTTATTCTCACTCTTTCCTTAGTGACATTTATGGAGTCTTTTCTGGTCACTTCAGGCTGAGTGTGAAGTCTTTGAAGAGGCTGAGGGGATGGTGACAGTGCATCAGGACAACAGGGACCTAGGAACAGAAACACCTAGATTTACATATGGAACTAGTTAGTTGGGAGAGAAAGATCGGAAACCTTCCCCACCTTGGTTTCCCATGGCAAGCGCCATGGGTAAAACTCTTCAGATCCGAACTTGGAAGAAGCTGCTGTTACAGAACTGTCCTACAAAAGGATCATGCCCCTGCAGGCTCAACACTTTGGGGCTCATTCCCACACTCACTCTTGAGAGCACTTGATCTTTCTTAACAGGCTGTTTGTATTTCTGTTATAAGCATATATCCCTGATGGAATCCTTTGCCCTGAGACACAAATGCCTGGAATCAGGGGGCCCTCTTAACCCAGACCCTTGGCTCAGCGCTTCTAAACACATTTTTACCCAGTCTGGGCCCACCATTTTCCATTCAACTGCTTGCCTACCTCCGTAGGCAATTACAGTAGGATCCCAAGGCATTATGTTCTGTCTTCCTCCTCCCCATCTCCATCCTCCATTTGGGGTTTTCACTTGCCTACTCCTGGTATCTTTTTCTCAAACTCTAACAATTGTCCTTGAGCTTCCTTTTGAAAGTATTTTCAAATTCTTTTCCTAGTGAGACTAAGACAAAAGGCAGCCTCAGTTTACCTGTTCCCAACATAGTAAGGAAGGCTGATGATGGTGTCTCCTGTGCTTCATGGGCAGGATGGAACACCCAGCCGCTGTCTTCCAATTGTGATTTTCTTGTGAAGAAGGGCTCACTTGTACTTTGGAGATTTCAAGGCTGATGAACCTCTTGTAATGGTTCTCAGTAATTTCAGGGTGTTTAGCCCAATACCCACTTGATGCCAAAAAGTCTCCAGATTTTGCACAAGGCCTAAGAAAGACAAAAGTCACACTTTCCCTTTCTCTTATCCCACACCCTGCCAGAGCCCTGTAACTAAATGTACGTGGTTATGCTTGGAAGCCAAGCCTTGGATTAGAGAGATCATTCCTTTTTAATCCTTTCGTAGGATTAAAAAAAATATGTGAATAGTTACTGCTATGTATTATGTGGCTCTCAAAAATAGACTTTGTCTAGATTACCTTAATCAAATCATCATGGGAGCTTTTACATGGAAACTAGCATTTGTGTCTTTAGGGGCAATCAAGTTTGGAGCAGTGATTTCTACTTCAGCAGCAGGTTAGAAACCCCCAGGAATCCTCAAAATCTAGCTAGCAAAGAGTCTCAAGTTCATTACAGACTTCCTAATCACAACCCTTTTGACATGGGAGGAGCCTGGGACCTGTATGATTTGAATATGAAACCTACATAAAGTTTGTTTTTAATTTCCTAAAGATCTTTTTAAAACTATTCAGGAGCTGGGCAGCACTCAGGAGGCAGAGGCAGGGGAATCCGTGAGTTTTAGGCCAGCCTGGTCTACAGATCAAGTTCCAGGACAGCCAGGGCTACATGGAAAATCCTATCTCTTGGGATAGGGTGGGGGTGAAGGGGACCAAACAAGAAAAGAAAAAAAAATACCAAGAAAAGGATACCTAAAACTTCTCAGTGTGAGACAATAAAAATAAGAACTTTCTGTGTAACTTGATACTCTGATGTTTCACATTTTACTTTTAGTCGTCTTGAACCACTCGATTTGCTGTGGAGACATGAGCAAATGAGGAGAGAGACAGGTGGGGCTGAGGGTCAGAAAACTTCAATTTGACTTTGTTTTTAAGTGTGTAGCAAGTTAAGAGTCCTTGTAAACACCATTCTTTTGGCATCTCCACCTCATCCCTCTTTAAGGTTTTATAAACAGCTCCACTGAGATTCTCTATGGAGTATCTGGCAACAGTACATGGATGTATACCAGCATCACAGCCATTTGCACCTCAAGAGGCAATGAAGAGAAATAAATACTCTGGTGTCTGTGACCAGACAGTTTCCTGGCTAGGCAAAGCTGTAATCCTAGGACTCAAGAAGCTTACAGGCTTGAAGCCAGCCAGGAAAGCAACCCCCTCAAAAAACCACACCCCCCACCCACCCATTGAGACAATAAATAAATAAATAAATAAATAAATAAATAAATAAATAAAATCCTTTTCTTATTAGGACAAGGATCTTTGGAACAGTGAAAATAAGCTTAATAATATTACCTAAGTGACAGTTCTGTCTTGAGTCTGCCCAGGGCAGTAGTATGAAGCGTTATTGTGTTGGAGTGTGTTCGTATATGATCAAGTTTGAGATCTGATTTGTTTATGCCAAGTCATAATTATTGTGTTCTCCATTACAAGACTATGTTCTCTTGTTTCCATCCCACTTTTACCATTGCCTAGTTTATACGTTTTATTTTATTAATATTCTATAGGGTGCTGCAGCTTATGTTTAGCAGTAAATATAAAAGGGAGAGAAGCCACCTGTGTTTTCCAGTGTATTGTGGTGTATGTTGGCTATGTGCGTATGTATCATTGGTAATCTGTCAACTGACCTTAATATTTGGTAACATGCTTTCATTTGCTTGCAAAGGAAATATTTTGAAGTTTCTTTCTGCTTTGTCTCCCTGCAGAGCAACCAATCCCTCCTTTAAGGAAGTGTTGTCGAAGATTGAGTCCCATGAAGACTGCAGGAACTTACCTATGATCTCTTTCCTCATTCTCCCTATGCAGAGAGTGACGCGCCTTCCCCTGCTGATGGATGTAAGGCATGATTTGGTGGCTTTGTCCTCTGAATATGAGCTACCATAAATGTGATTAACTAAATTACTGTTATTTTGCTTACCTTGATGAATACTTCTTTTATAAAACCCCCTAATTGAGAAGATGTTATCCACTTGCAAAGCCTGCCTGTGTTTGAGATCATTGAGTTTACCTTTAATTTAGACTTGTGTGGTCACTCTGGTGAAACTTGCTTACATTACCCACTTGTATTTTTTGGAATGGGAATAATATTGGCTTCTTTGAGGTCAAGAGGCCTGGATTCCATTTTTGTCTGAGTCACTAAGTATGAGACCTCGGACAGTCACTTTGTTTTAGATCCCTTCCATCTTGAATGTTCTAAGGTCCTTTGGGCTCACTCTCGCATGAAAATGTGATTCTGATAGTCTCTACCATGCATTGTGTAAAGCAAGTTAAAAGTCCCAGTATCCTTTGGTATTAGGTAATCTCCATAATGGAAGCAAGAGTTTGACTTTGAATAATGAGAAGACATGCTGAAGGAAGGGAGCCGATACCATCTGTCCTGTGATAGGGCTTGCTTAGCCAGTGGGCAGAATGTGTCTTGTTCTAATTAGGACAGATTGTCACAGATATACTTCAAAATTGGGTCATTATGTTGGCATGATATCAGTTTTTATATGTTTGCTTTTATACACCAAAACGTAGGAGAAAAACTTATCAGGCTTACATAATTGGGTAAGGTTGCAAAAATATATTTCCTCTTCCATATTCCATGGTAGATACTGAGATACTCTCAAACAAGAGTGGATGTTTGAAGTGCAGCAAAGCGTGTGATGGTTGTCACTTTTCTGTTCTGTCACAGTCGTCTGACAGCCTTCTCAAATGTCTCAGGATTCTAATTCATAGGCCTTCCCTTCTCCTCTCAATCACCTCAGTGCACTGTGCACATTTTCTTCTTGTCAGCTATCGATTGTAATTTAGGAAAGGATTTCCTGCATAAGCATAGCCAGTGCCAGTTACCAATGGGGGCCTGTTCTGAGAAATGCATGGCTAGCAATGCCAGTGCCCTGTAGCATCACTGAGCATATTTCTATAATACAACCTCAGCATGTCTAGGAGAAACAGCCTTGTAAATCTTGTGTGTGGTCCATCATTGGCCCAGTGAGTAACTGGAAGTTTTGAAAAGTCTGAAAGTTTTTTAGGTCAGTGCTTAGCCTATCTAAAGATAGAATGCATTAACAATTAGTTAGATAAAACCAAATTTGGATACAATTGGTTAAACAGAATGGCAATCCTATTTCTAACACCTCAGAGGACACAATGTTGGATATTTACAGTGTGGTTACATAATGGGCTCTTTATGCTTTTGTGTCATAGTCCTGTTGGAGGTTCTAGGTGAAGCTGTAGCCTGTCTTCTCAGATAATTAATGTATACACACAGTTTTATTTAGAATTTTATTCTATAATTCCCAGTGAATGATGTCTGCCGTCGTGGAAATAATCCAGTATTTTTCATATTGCTTTCATGTCATTAAGGGGGAAAATTGATTTTGGAATCATGAGCAGAGTTTTAAAAGTGCAATAGGACAGAAAATAAAGTATTAGATGTATATATGGCTCATAATATGGCTAAATATTTTTTTCTAAAAACCTTGCTTAATTTATGTGTCTATATGAACTGGTTATAGCATAAATACATTCCTTATACAAGGTCAAAATGTTGAGGGTCGAATCATTAATATAACCCCACATATGTGGCCCTCCACACTTCTCTCATGTTGCAGTCCCACTGCCAGACTTGCAGATTTATAGACTGCACTCACTTGCAGTTAAGGCACAGTCGCCTGTCAGTTACCGACCACATTCTGCCCCTGCCTGATGACTCTTGCCAGTCATCATTTATTTTCCATATGTGAGGACTCAGGAAAAATCAAACGACTTTAAAGCACTCGCTCTTAAATTTTACATCAGTCGGAAATATACTTCAATTTGTTACGAGGATGGACATTTTAAAAACTAGCTTGGTTCTCTGAGCTTTCAAAGTTATTTGTTTAAGCTGAGTGTTCCTTATTAAGAATGTCTGCAGTGAGATGTGTTTCTACATTTTGAGAAATTTTGGAATATTTACACACACACACACACACACACACACACACACACACATATATATATATATATATATTGAGGTGTCATGGGAATAGGACCAGAACCTAAATATGAAATTCACTTGTTTTACAAGCATAGTTTGTGTACATATTCTAAAGATAGTTATATCTAATAAGTTTCATGGTGTACAATTTTTCAATTTGTGGTATGGTCTGACAGTCAAAAAGTTTACTATTTTAAAAGATTTAAGATCTTATATTTTTATCTTTTAGACATTCATATTTCAATTTACCTTGAATGGATTATCAGAGTAACTTCTCTTTTTTTTTTGGGAGCTGACAGTGTGCTCGGCATTTACATAAGATGTGGAGATTACTTACCATCTAACTCTTGGAACAGGGTTGGGGAGGTGGCTCTGAAGAGCACCTGTTCAGCAGGGGAAAGGCCAGGTTGGATCCCTGAACAGGAAACAGAAGAAGACAAGCATCAGCCTCTTGCAGTAGCCTGTTTTTTACCTGGCATTGCCGCAGTTTGCAGAGGAGGAAAGTGATGTTTATCTACAACCAACCACTTACCCATGGTTAAATACCTAGCATACGGCAGGTCTGAGACTTCTCAGCCTTCCTACTGACCTCTGAAATCTTGTTTATTCAGCTGGATTCACTTAGGCTTTATGTAGGTGAAGAATATTTTCTAGTTTTGTTAGTTTCATTTTAATATGCTCTTCCCTAATATTGTGTCCAGAAACAGTCCTTTGTATGAGTAAGAGGAAATGGCTAAATACTAGTTTATTTTGCTACCTATGTTAAATCAATTGGCTTTGCTTCTTTTTACTTTGTCATAGACTATCTGTCAAAAAACACCCAAGGAGTCTCCAAAGTATGAAGTCTGCAAAAGGGCCCTGAAGGAAGTGAGCAAGGTAACTGTTTACTATGATAACTGTAAAACATGTAGAAATCTTGAAAGAGTCTTGCAGGTTTGTGCTTGCTATATAAGACTGAGATTCACACAGCCATATTCAAGAAAATTTGTATGTTGACTGTTTCAGGTAGGATTCGTTTTATGTACCTGTCCATATTTCCTTTTGTCTGCTGTGTTAATAGCTATTTGTTGATTCTCTCCTTCCAACAAATATTTACTGAGTATCAACTACTATACCAGGAATAATGCTGCCTTCTGAATGTTTGCTGATAAGCAGATATGGTTATTGCATTTATGGAATGTGCAGAATAAAGAGAAAGACACACACTAAATAGAATTACAGTACAGTGTGATGACTGAAGGGAGGGGAAGAGTACAGAGTGATGTTTTAACTGAGATCTGCGGCAAGGATAGTCGTCAACTGGGGCGTGGAAAGAGTGCTTGGGGTATATGGAAGCCCAAATAAAAGTGCTAGAGGATTTGAAGAATTCATTGGGACAGGGAGGGAGAGGGGAGGGAGGAAAGAAGGGAGGAGCCTGTTACATATGATTCAGAGTTGGAGGCTATGGTCTATGATGGTGATGAAATGGTGGAGGTGTAAATTCAAATAAGATGAGAAGAAACTGTGTGTGTGTGTGTGTGTGTGTGTGTGTGTGCGTGTGTATGTCTGTGTGTGTGTGTGTATGCATGTGTATGTGTGTGTGTGCGTGTGTGCGTGTGTATGTGTGTACGTGTGTGTGTGTGTGTGTGTGTGTGTGTGTGTGTGTGTGTGTGTAGATAAATATGTGTAGTATGTTTGGAAATGATGAAGACATGAGTCAAGGAAATATAATCCCCGACTGGACAACTGAATCATTTTTTTTTAATTTCATAGTGTGGAAAGATGAATTCCGTTTGCAGATCCTATAAAACATGAATTTTGCTTGAGAATGTAGAGGAGAGATACACGCTGGAGACCTGGATTTGGGAATCGTCATCAACGTAGATGATATTTGAGCTTGGAGTGTAGAGGGATTTATCTGGCATGAGGATGCAGAATAGGGAGCATAGAAGCCTCTGGTAAAATCCCAGGGAACACTAATACTTAGTCTTATTTGGAGGAAGGTAACCAGTATAGGAGACATAAAAACAAGTAAGGCGTGTGAGAGAAAGGTTAAACAGGACACCCTAGAGAATGGTAAAGCAGTGAGCTCATGGGTGCTCCTCCTGCGAGAGAAAGGAAGGCATACGATGTAGCCATTTGTAGGGTTCATCCTCAAGTAGATGATACAGAAACCACATTGGAAGATGCTGAGCCATGAGCAGTGTGTGCAACCGATATAGCCAGCTTCTCGGTGGCTGGCTCCATCAGTAACCAGGCCTGCAGTACAAAGAGAAAGAGTTGTGGCTGAAAGGGAAGTAATATTCATGTAAAGATAGAAGACTGTATGTTTAGTTACTACCAGGTACATGGGGCTGAGAGAGCAGAAGTAAGAATAGTCATTTCTGTGGGTAGCATATGAGCAAGGCACAGATGAGTGGAGACTCAACATGCCAGAAACTTCCTGGCTATTTCCTGTTGCTTGCTTCCTGCATGAATAGGAAAAGATCTTCCTCCCACTTTACTATAAAGTACTAATTTTTTTTTTGTATCAGCTTTAAGTAGACTCATTATTTTACTCTTCTTTAAAAGCCAGGTTGCAAAGTTTAGGACTAGTCCAGTGACTCAAATGTTTACCAAGCAGTCATCGAAGGCCCATGAGCCATTTATTTGCAGATAATCCAGTATTTTTAATTGAGCAGAGCTTCCCTTAGCTTGGTGTTTTTGAAGAATTACCAGACTTCCCCCTTTCAGAATCTTTTTGTGGTCCCATGATTTACATGTAACACTGCTTACATTTTGCCTATGAAGTTGGAAGTCTGCCTCCGGCTGCTCTGGCCTGGAAGAGAGGAGGAGCTGTACTGTCCTGAGGTAGATTGGGTTCTCATAGGTAAAGATGAAGCTAGACAGAAGACAGGAACAGAGTAGATAGAGACCTAACGTGTGTGATGACGGCTTGCGTGGAGGGTGCGGAGCCGTAGAGGAAACACATCTCTGAAAATCTTCTTAGTCCTTTACCCCATCCCCAACTGCATCTTCTCTCCTGGTCACATCTGGGTACAGTGTCCCTCCTGGTTGGAACTATGGGTCCCTGGAACTTCTGGAGAGTAGATCATTTTCTTGGAGAGACCTGAAATTGAAAGTGTGGTTTCTTGTGGGAGAGGTGGCCAAGTAAAATAAAATAAAATAAAATAAAATAAAATAAAATAAAATAACATAAAAAAGTGAGGCTGCTCTTCAGCGTTCTTACCTCTCTTTCTGTTGTGTTCCCAGTTGGTTCGACTGTGCAATGAAGGAGCACGGAAGATGGAACGGACGGAGATGATGTACACGATTAATTCTCAGCTGGAATTTAAAATTAAGGTAGCCTTCTGTCAGTGTTTGTTGTATTACTGCTGCTTGAATCTTATCTAAACAGAGGAAGTTGAGGCTAATGAAGTAAATTGGAGCTAGATTTTCAAAAAAAAACTATAAACTGAGAAGAAAAGCTGACAGAGGACTTCCCAGATGCCTAAGGGAGTCTCCAGGTGTCTCTCCAGGCCAAGAAGGTATGACCTTCTCCAGGAAACCATCAAGGAATTGTACTACTTGATAGTTGATAAAGTACTTGAAGTTGACAATCCATAAGCACTCTCAGATCAGGATAAGTGTGAATCCAGGCTGATGGCCCCAAGTGTCATGACTGAAGAGTGGTGTACATTCTTCTATTAGAGTATCCCAATTCTAATAATCTAAATGCAGATTTGTATTCATAAAATAAATTTTGACTAATTTAGGCCACTTAGAAATGCCACTTAACACAACTTATGTCCTTATAACTCTTAGTGGATAGTAAAAAAAAAAAAAATTTATTCAGTTCTTTTTTGTTGTTGTTTTCGAGACAGGGTTTTTCTGTGTAGCCCTGGCTGTCCTGGAACTCACTCCGTAGACCAGGCTGGCCTCGAACTCAGAAACCCGCCTGCCTCTGCCTCCCAAGTGCTGGGATTAAAGGCGTGCGCCACCACCACCCGGCTATTCAGTTCATTTTAAAGAAGAAAAAAATAGAAGTTCAAAGAGGTTGAATGAATCAGAGATAAAATCCATGGGATAAGAGGTCTCAGAACACACAACAAACATAGACACCATAAAATGAAAATTTACTAGCTTTTCTCTATACAGGAACGATAAAGACAAAAAGCAGAAGCGGCTTGCACATGAAGTAGTGACAGCCCTGGTCATACAGTATCCACACCACACCTCTTGTAAAAATCAGAGTGACAGGGAAAAGCAAGGGAACAGACACCGGAAATGACAAGTTAGAAAGCTGCCACCAGATGGGGAAGGGCAAGTGACTATTACATTTTTGAAAAGTGACTTTATTTCATTCAGGAATTGCTAATGGACATTTGGGTAGGAAACAATCCAGAAGAATGAAAAGACAGTCTATGGGTGAAGTTACAGAAATGGCACTTTGCAGGCCGCTGGTAGAAAGGACCATCTGAGTCCTGGAACTGACTTTCAGATTTGCAAAGCAGGTTATTGTACCCCAGCAGTTCTGCTTCTGCTAGTTTATTCTGGACTGTTGAATATAAAGATCACATAGTTATTTACATAGTATTTGTTTTAGTGCTGGATGAAAAACAATCCTGAAATCTATCATGGAGGACTGATCACATCAATATAGTACATGAAGCAGAATACAAATATGTGATTTTGGGGACAAACAAAAGGATGATGGAGTTTTAGGTAGCAGTGAAAATTATGTATCATTAAATGAAAAAAAATGGATGTTAAAAAAAAAGTTTTTGCCAAAGAAATTTTTGGAAAGGGACAGAAAGATCTAGCATCTGCTATTACCTGTAGAGGCAGGAGTCGGTGTGTGGGAACTGGGTTGGGGAGAAAGAGAGGGAAGGAGAAGTTTTTCACACAATACGCTTTTTTTGTCAAAGGAAGCAAAGACATTCTGAAAACTACTCTCAGCTTTGAGTGAATAAATGAAAATTTAGTATTTCCTGGTGGAATTCAAAGACTATAAAAATCAATCTGCTTTAAAACAACAAAGCAATGGAAAACTCTTTACCTAGCACCGAAACGGAAAATTGTTGTAGGGTGGCATGGCTGGAACTCCATCGTAACTCCTTGGTTCAGATTCAGGACTTCTGCATAAGGGAAAGACAGCCTTGTGCTTCCAGCACCTGCAGCTCCCGGGGACCCATCCTGACACATGTTTTTGTAGGGATTCCTAAGTGCACTGGTCAGAGTTATTATAAGCAATCCTTTCTCTGTTGACCTTACAGGGAGGGCCCTGCTGCTCCTGTTAGATAATTATATGAGTCTTAAGGGGCTGTATACTCCACAGCCTTCCTTAAAAACCAGTTTGCAAAGCTTGGGTTTAGGCATAATCTTTCTTGCCGAATCTGTGTATTGCTGATGAACAACTTTCTTATAAAAAGCCCTTTATAAAGTTGGAAAACTATGAAATCCTTTCTTTACTTCTTCATTTCCTTCGTAATATCCTCAATTTCCTTTAGCTATTTTTAATCATCCTTCATGTAACAGAATGACATCTGCTGTGCCATATTACTGTGCCTGTATTCTATGTATCTAGGAACTTTTGCTTATTTTATGGATATATTTTTAAATCAAGTTTTTGGCAGCATGTATTTCTAGTAACTTTATTTTCTTTTAACAAGAAAAAAACTCTAAAGGGTACAAATTAGTCTGTGGTTTTGAGTTTTCCAGTTGGCTTATTCAAAGCTAAATAAGAAAAAGCCGTACGTAATTCCTTGGATGCAGCCTTTTCTGCGAGATTATGAGAAATCCTGAGAAGGACTCCATTTTCATCGTCAGACAGTGGCATGAGGCTTTTAAGGATGTATTCACACAGTGCAAACTGTAAAAACCTAAAAACAAGTATCCTTGAGAATGTGGCTCAGTAGATTTCTGTAGATTTCATTTTTTGTTTGTTTTGATTTTTTTTTATTCATTTTGGTTTTGTTTCTTGAAAACTCCTTTTGTAGTTCATGAAGTGAATATAGACTTTCAGACTTGTCTCTTGGCAACTACGATTTCATCACCAAGTTTTTTTTTAAGTTACTCCAGGTTTCTTTTCTAGTTCAGAGTTGAATAGTAAAGTCAGAATTTTGTGACCCAATAATATTTTCTTGTGGTTTCAGTTTTGTATGGGTAAGCTAATAAGCTTTTAATGTCCAAAAATAAATGTTATTTTCTCTTGGAGAATATGCCAGTTCCAGTTGTATTTTGCCACTATTTGCCTGTCAAATAATGATGTATCTCATAAGATACAATGCCTTATTGATCTTCCCTTGGTTGTGGGTACTGAATTTCTCTCTCTTTACAGCCTTTCCCCCTGGTCTCTTCTTCCCGGTGGCTGGTGAAGAGAGGGGAGTTGACAGCCTATGTGGAAGACACAGTGCTGTTCTCCAAGAGGATGTCCAAACAGCAAGTCTACTTCTTCCTGTTCAATGATGTGCTTATTATTACAAAGAAGAAGAGGTGAGCGCCAGCCACATGTTGCCTGTTAGGGCACCATCCTTCTAAAGTGTGGGTAGTAGATGTATAATTCCTATGTATTGAATCAAAATCATGTTTGGCCTTCACTGTCTCTAAATGCAAGTATTGTTAAGTCTTGACTTAGAACCTCTTGCTCCTGGGTAGCCTTGAATGAACTGTTGCAGTCTAAGCTAGTACTCAGAGCATCATCGGATGTGTCCACATCACTCTGTTCTCCCACCATGCCTGGGGAGGCTGCACTCTATTCCAATAGCATTTTTCCAAACTTCTTCTGTCTTAGAGCTTTTGTATAGATCAAATTAAATGGTTAAGGATATACCATGGGTAACTCAAGCATGCCTTTTGATTTAATTTAAGAAATGTTTGCAATGGTTATGCGGCTATTGTGCCCATGAATGGCTAGGTGCCGAGCGTGCTCCCTCCTTGGGGGAATGAAGTACCTTGGTTGGAAAGTGTTTTTCTCCTTCTGCCTTTGTGCTCTTCCTTCATATTCTTCCTGAGATGACCAGGAGGAAAACCATGCAAGCCTTATCTTTACAGTTTTTATTATCTCAAACAGTTCTCAGGACAGACACAAGCATGCACGTGTTAGCCCATGACTTACTTATATCACCCAGGACTACCTACCCAGGGATGGCACTGCCCCCTGTATTTAAAATTGGCATGTATTGTCAATTTTTATTTTGTCATTCAACTCAAAAGATGAGTTAAAACATTGGGTCCACTGAGACACGTTGACTGATAACTTGATGAAAGCTATCATCTTTAGAGATAGTTCTAAAACCAGGAGAGTGCAGCTTTTATTGGTGAACTTGCACAGTACTAGTCAATAAATACAGAATTAAGGCATGTGTTATTTTACTTAGCAGCTGATTTTGCTCTTCACAGGTGGCTTTGCCATCACATTTCATGTCGATCTCTCTATGCCAAATTTATGTGCTCACATGCTTTTGGAATTGTAATCGTCATGACCAAAAGAGCAAGACGTATATTCCTTTTGTCAAAACTGATGTTTTCTTGCCCTGTCCCCAGGGTCATCATCTGTCTGACGTCCTCTCAACTGAGGAAATATCATTAGAGACTCTGCTTGTTCATGATGACAGTCTGTGGGAAAGAAGCTTGGTAAACAGGCTGGGTTTGAAATGTACAGTATGTACTGCTGTATTTACACAGTAGCTTCAAGGAGGCAACTGCAGATGCTTTGCATGCCAGAGGCAGCAGCACAGGAGATATAAGCGCTTGGAGTCAGGCAATAATTCAGCCGTGGCTACAAGGGAGAGATAAGGAATCATTATCTGTGCCAGCTCTCTAGGACTGATCCAGCCACCCACTGACTGATTGAAATTACAAGGTTTAGGCAAGGAGTTTAGCTGCTTGGTCTCCAGTAGCTTTCAGCATGTGGCCCTTCGGCATGTAGCTGGTACTTGTGGAGCAGGGCTTGGTGGTTAGCCCGTGGGGGCTAGCTTCAACGGCATTGTTGGTTATTTTGTTTTGTTTTATTGTTGTTTTATTTTTTTAAAATTAGAAGAAAATGTAAATATATTTTTAAATCAGTTCTGGGTTGCTTGTTAGCCACTTTCTTAATAGTTTATCTTACCAAATTTCAAAGAGACACATCTGATTTGACTACTTTTGATGGGACGATGAATTCTTCGGTTTTGGAAGCTATAACTACCTGGGTCTCACTAGATGCCGGACCTCAGCAATGTTGACATGGGGCCTGTGCTTCTTTGTTGTAGGGTGGTCCTGTGATGGAGTGTTAAGTAGAATCTGTGTTGTCTCTCCATTGTATGCTAATAACACTTCCTCCCACTGTGATAACAAAACCACCTCTAGGTGTTGCCTAATACCTCCCCAGGTAAGAGCCATTTCCAAACAGGACAACAGGCAGACCTTAAACCAGCTTTGATTTCTGACTTGACACAGTATTAATAGTAATATTGTATTATAAACATGGTAAGTGTGGTGGTTTGAATAGGTTTTGCCCCCATAGACTCATGTATTTCAACGCTTGGCTCATGGAGAGTGGCACTATTAGGAGGTGTGATCTTGCTAGAGGACATATGTGGGGGCAGACTTTGAGATTTCTATGCTCAAGCTCCACCCAGTGTGGAATCAGAGCCTCTTCCTGGATGCCTTTGGATCAGGATGTAGAACTCTTGGCTGCTTCAGCACCAAGAATGTCCATAGGATGCTGTGCTTCCCACTGTGATGATAATGGACTGAACCTATGAAATTGAAAGCCAGCCCCAAGTAAATGTTTTCCTTCATAAGAGTTGCCTTGGATCATGGTGTCTCTTCACAGCAATAAAACCCTAACTAAGATAACAAGTGACCAGATAGAAATAGATCAATATGTACTAACATAAAATAACTGTTATGTTCCCATAATTAGACAATCAATGTGCTCCTGACTACACATACCCACATCTACAGCCTCATGAAGTTAGGTACAATTAGTCCTATTTTTGAAATGTATAAACTCAATCTAAACTTTAATTGGTTAACACTCTCAAAGTTTCTGAGGCAGTTTACTATCTTATATTTACTTAATTCCTTGTATAGGCCCAATCTTTTCCCTTAATTCTCTCAGACTCTGAAAGCAGAAGTAGCTGGTGTACCACAGCACTACAAAGGGGGTGGCTGAGGAGTCCAGGAGGCCCGCCCACTCACCTTTCACTTCCTGGTGACTCTAAGCATGCTTTCCAGTCAGCCTGTGTTTCCATATGGGCTGCTTCTCTGCTGTGCCTCTGTCAGTCCTTACCTTGACTCACTTAGTTATTGGATGCAGAGTCTGTTTCAGTCCAGTATGACTCAACTACCCCTGCAAAGGCTTTTTTTTTTCTAAATATGATAACTTTCAACGTGCCAGGAGTCAAGACTCTACCACGATTCTTTGCAGCATACAGTCCAACCCCCACAGTCTCTGACCCCTTAGCATCACCTCACGTAAGCACAGTTGAACGGATAGTGATGTCCTAAGGTAGTTCTGAGCCACATACTTCTTTTACCTGAAGTCACTCCATTTTTTAATAGTTTTAAGAATGTTGTCATGATCATGTGACTTGAACTTCTCTGGTGGTTTCACAGATTATTGTCATATCTAAATCTTCCTCCTTCTACCCCTCCTCCTCCATGTTTGCCTCTATGCTGCATTCTAGAATGCAGGCCCTGAGCAGGTTTTCCTCTCAGCTCTGACTCCCTCTCACTTCAGACTTTCTCTAGGCAACATTCTAATATTTGAGGTTTACACTAATCGCCACAGCCACTGGTGGTTTCATTCAATTCTCTAAGACAGTCTTATTTTCCATCTCCCTGTGATCTGATAAAGTTGGGCATTTTCCTTGCTATAACATTTAATGTCAACTACTACCCTGTGTCTCGTGTTGACCTTTCTGTCTTCAGTCTGTAGGCAGGCATTTAGCTGTAAGAATGCTCATAACAATGCAGAGGAATTTTAACCAGCCATGTAGCTATTCTGGCTGGAATACAGACACGCCTTTAATCCCAGGAGACAGAGGAAAGGAGATCTCTGAGTTCAAGGCCAGCCTGGTTCAGAGTAAGTTCTTGGTACAGAAAAGCTTATGTACAGGTATGATGGTACATGCCTTTGATCCCAGCACTCAGGCGTGAGTTGAGAGGCAGTACGGAGAAGGTGAGTTCATGTCAATTGAGTAGAGAAATTAGTTTATCAGTTCAGTTCAGTTCAGTTCAGTCAGTTGAGTTCAGTGAGTGCCAGTGCAGTAGAGTTTAGTTCGTTCATTAGGTCAGGAGGTCAGGAGTTCATGAAGTTCAGTACAGGTCAGCAGAGCCAGAAAATAAGAAGGAACCAGAAGATTAGAATAGAATGCTCTAGTTAGTTTGAGGCCAAGCAGAGCAAAAAGTCCGAAGGTGAGAGAATCAGTTTTAATCAGGCAGTGTGGAAGAGTTTGAGCCAGAGCAGCTGAGTTGAACCAGCCAGCCAGAGTTCAGAAAGAGCTAGAAAGGGTGAGGTTATTCAGCAACAACCCTGAGACATGACAATTACTTTGGGGAAATAAAAGTTACTTTTATATAGCAAGTATTTTGAGGATGAACCACTCACACTGATGATGTCTTAGTCAGTATTCTGTTGCTGTGAAGAAACACCATGACTGTTAGTATTCTGTTAAACTGCACCTCCACAGTTACCTGGCAGAGGCCAGGTATGCTCCTCCCCACGGTTACCTGGCAACAGCTGGGTAGGCCTGCCCACTATAAAAGGGGCTGCCTGCCCCCTCCTCTCTCTCTCTTGCTCTGTTGATCCCTGCCTGCAGGTTCTCTGTCCCCTCTCTCCTCCCCCTTCCCTTCCCCCTCTCTCCACGTGGTCATGGCTGGCCTCTATTCCTCTACCTCTGTTCCTCCCCCTCTCCTCTCGAGCTGTCTCTCTCTCTCTCTTTCTCTTAATAAACCTCCCCTCGTAGAACCGTCTGGTCTGCTATGATCTGTCCAAGCTGGGCGCTGAAAACTCTTTTCAATGACTGTAAGTGTTCCTGCTCAGATGGAAATGTATCCTGAAACAGAAGTGCCCAGGAACGAACTAACCACACAGCTCTGTGAGGAACCGTCCTCAGCCAAGGCATTGTAGCTCCCAGGGGAGGGAATCCCCAGCTGTGCTGAGGAGCTCAGGGGACACAGCCCTGCTCAATTGCTTCTTGGCTTCTTCTGATAAGAGTCACACCAGGCAGCAAGTCTCATAAAAGAGATTTATTGGGAGGGTCTAGGGTGTGGCGGGATGAATCCATGGGTGGCAACCTCTGCTCTTGAGAGAGAGCAGCAAGTTAAACAAAGGGCAGGGCTTATATAGGGTTTCTTAGGGGACAGAGCTTTTCAGGGAGATTTACAGAGTGAGGATTGGTGGGATTTTAAACTCCTGAGCTTGTGGAGCTCAGGGTTTGGTTGATTTTCCTGTTCAGGTACTGGTAGGTTTTGTGCTCAGGGACAGGAGGGATTTTGTGGGAAGC